CATCCTACAACCTCCCCCCTCCATAGTACCTCCCCACCACCCCTCCATCCCATACCACCTCCCTTCTCCTTCCCCTCGTGCCTCACCTGGGAGATCCCTCCTTCCCTTCTCCTCACACATCACATCCCTCCCTCACCCACGTAATCCCTCCCCTCATCCACATCCCCTCCCTCACCATCATCCCCTCCCCACCCACACATCCCTCCCTCACCCATCACATCCCCTCCCTCACCCATCCACATCCCTCCCCCTCATCCACATCCTCCTCACCCATCCATCCCTCCCTCACCATCCCATCCCCTCCCTCACCCATCCATCCCTCCCACTCATCCCATCCTCCCTCACCCATCCATCCCCTCCCTCCTCATCATCCCTCCCCCACTCATCACATCCCCTCCTCACCCATCACATCCCCACCTCCTCCACATCCTCCCCCCATCACTCCTCCTATCTCTCCTCTCCTCCCCCATTACCCCCCCCTCCTCCACCCCACCAGGAACCTTCATTAATTAACGTTTATGTGCTCTGCCTCACCCGCCTCTGTTCTGCCGCTGGTAAATTCTTGCAGCAACTTTCTAAAGGTCATCTGGGCCGCGGGGAAACAAGATTAAAAAAAAAAAATAATGACCTAGAATTTCATGTATGTGTTAAAGTGAGATAAAAATATTTGGGTATTTTCTGAGGCATTCTATACGAGTTTGTTTATGGCTCTTGGGTATAATAATAATAATAATAATAATAATAATAATAATAATATATATTAATATATATGGGATAAACGTCTTTATTTATTTTAGTTTTTTCAGGTTTTTTTTTAAACTTGCAAGATGAAAGAAAAGAATTTTTTGTTTGTTCATGATAAAGTGTTTTTTTTTTAATGGCCCTACACTTTTTTCCTTAAGTGGTATTTTTCCCCCACAGTGGTACCCTCCTTCCTTCACACTAGTAACCTCCTCCCACACTAGTACCCTCCCTCCACACTAGTATCCTCCCCCCACTGGTACCTCCTCCCCCCACACTGTTCCTCCTCCCTCCACACTGTACCCTCCTCCCCCCACACTAGTACCCTCCTCCCTCCCACAAGTACCTCCTCCCTCCACACTGACCTCCTCCCCACCTAGTACCCTCCTCCCTCCCACACTGGTACCCTCCTCCCCCCCACCACTAGTACCCTCCCCTCCCCCCACACTGGTACCCCTCCTCCCTCCCACACTGGTACCCTCCCCTCCCCCACCTAGTACCCTCTCCCCCACACTAGTACCCTCCCCCCTCCCACACTAGTACCCTCCTCCCTCCCACACTGGTACCCTCCTCCCTCCCACACTGGTACCTCCTCCCCACACTAGCCCTCCTCCCCTCCCCACACTGGCCTCCTCCCCCACACACCCTCCTCCCCCACACTGGTACCCTCCCCTCCCTCCCCACACTGGTACCCTCCCTTCCCACACTAGTACCCTCCTCCCCCACACTAGTACCCTCCCCCTCCCACACTGGTACCCTCCTCCCTCCCCACACTAGTACCTCCTCCCTCCCCTCCCTCCCTCCCCCCCACACTGGTACCCTCCTCCCTCCCCACTAGTACCCTCCCTCCCCACACTAGTACCCTCCCTCCCTCACACTAGTACCCTCCTCCCTCCACACTGGCACCTCCTCCCCCACTAGTACCTCCCTCCCTCCACACTGGTACCCTCCTCCCTCCACACTGGTACCCTCCCCCCACACTAGCACCCTCCCCCCCCACACTGTACCCTCCTCCCCCCCACACCAGTGCCCTCCTCCCCACACTGGCACCCTCCTCCCTCCACACTGGTACCCTCCCTCCACACTAGTACCCTCCTCCCCCACACTAGCACCTCCACCTCACCTCCTCCACACTGGTACCTCCTCCTCCACACTGGTACCCTCCTCCCCCACACTAGTACCCTCCTCCCTCCCACACTGGTACCTCCTCCCCCCACACTGGTACCTCCTCCCCCACACTGGTACCCTCCCCTCCACACTGCACCCTCCCCCCCACACTAGTACCCTCCTCCCCCCCACACCAGTACCCTCCCCCCCTCCACACTGCACCCTCCACACTACCCTCCTCCACACTAGTACCCTCCCCCCCACACTGGTACCCTCCTCCCTCCACACCAGCACCCCCCACACTAGTACCCTCCTCCCTCCACACTGCACCTCCCTCCACACTGGTACCCTCCTCCTCCACACTAGTACCTCTCCCCCACACTGGTACCCTCCTCCCCCACACTGGCACTCTCCTCCACACTACCCTCCCCCACACTAGTACCCTCCCCTCCTCCCCCACACTAGTACCCCCACACTGGTACCCTCCTCCCCACACTAGTACCCTCCTCCCCCAATAGTACCCTCCCTCCACACTAGTACCCTCCTCCCCCCACACACCTTCCTCCTCCCCCCCACACTGGTACCCTCCCCCCCTCCACACTGGTACCCTCCTCCCCACACTAGTACCCTCCTCCCCACACTGGCACCTCCCTCCTCCCCACACCAGTACCCTCCTCCCACACCGTACCCCACACTGCACACCCTCCCACACTAGCACCCTCCCACACTGGCACCCTCCTCCCCCTCCACACCCACCCCACACCCTCCTCCCACCCCACACCTCCTCCCACACTGGTACCCTCCTCCCCCCACACCAGTACCTCCTCCCACACTGGCACCTCCCCACACTGGTACCCTCCTCCCTCCACACCAGGCCCTCCTCCCCCACACTGCACCCCCCACACTGGCACCTCCTCCCCACCAGCACCTCCCTCCCTCCACACTGCCCTCCTCCTCCCACACCTCCTCCCCACACACCCTCCTCCCCTGGCACCTCACACCTGCACCCTCCCCCCCACACTGGTACCCTCCTCCACACTGGTACCTCCTCCCCCACCTCCCACCTCCCCCACACCCTACCCTCCCCCCACACTGGTACCTCCTCCCCCGTCCCCCTCTCCACATCACCCTCCTCCTCCACACTGGTACCCTCCTCCCCCACACTAGTACCCTCCTCCCTCCACACTAGGCACCTCCTCCCACACCTGCATCTCCTCCCCACACCACCCTCCACACTCCCTCCTCCACACTGCACCCTTCCTCCACACTGGTACCCTCCCCACACCAGTACCCTCCTCCCCCACACCCCTTCCCCCCACACTGCACCCTCCTCCCCACAGTCGCACCCTCCTCCCCCCACACTAGTACCCTCCCTCCCCACACCAGTACCCTCCCCCACACCTGCACCCTCCTCCCCACACTGCACCCTCCTCCCCCCACACTCTCACCTCCCCACACCGTACCTCCTCCTCCACACTGGCATTCTCCTCCCTCCCACACTGGCACCTCCTCCCCCACACCAGTACCCTCCCCCCACACCAGCACCCTCCCCCCACACTGTACCCTCCTCCCCCACTGCACCCTCCTCCCCCCCACCAGTGCACCTCCTCCCCACACCAGTGCTCCTCCCCCCTCCACACCTGCACCTCCTCCCCCCCACACTCTGCACCCCCCTCCTCCCCACACCTGCACCCTCCTCCCCACACCTGACCCTCCTCCACTGGTACCCTCCTCCTCCACACTGGTACCCTCCCCCACACTAGTACCTCCTCCCCCACACTAGCACCTCCTCCCCACACTAGTGCCCTCCTCCCCCACACTTGCACCTCCTCTCCCCACACTGACCCTCCCTCCCTCCACACTGGCACCTCCTCCCCCCCACACTAGTAATCCTCCCCACACTACCCTCCTCCCCACACTGCACCCTCCTACTGGTATCACATAGGGCGTTCTAATATTTTTCTATAAGCGTAAGCACAATGCAATCCACCCCTTCACCATCCCCCCTTCACTGTCATTCTCTTCAACCATTACCTTCACCATCACCCCATCACCATCACCATCACCCCCATCCACCATCACACCATCACCATTCCCCTCACCATTACCCCTTCACCATCACCCCCTTCACCATCACCCTCACCATCCTTCATCACCTCACCACCACCTCCACCATCACCCCATCACCATCACCCTCCACCATCACCCCATCACCATCACCCCTCCACCATCCCCCCTTCACCATCACCCCCCAATCTACCAAAGAAAAAAAAAAACAGATGCGAGAAGAGTGACGTAATGCTGGAGTAGTGGGCGGCCCAAGGCAGTGTCAGGCGCCGTCACTAAAGGCGCTACCAAAGTGAGCAGCGGCAGTTTACACCCACCAACAGATGGCACCAGTATCTTTAGTGTGGGTTTGGTCTTAGTTTGAGATGTTATTACTGCATGCAACTGATGTTTTTATTATCATTATCCTCATCATCATCATCATTACCCTCATCATTATTACTATTATTATCCTTCTTATTTCTTCTGATTACTATTATTATTGTCATTATCATTATTATTATTTACACTATTATTATCTACGTACTCAACAGTAAAAATCCACTTAATTTAGACTGGCTCTTGATTGACATACACACACACACACACACACACAGTTCGTGAATGATTGACTGTACACCAAAATCTTCTCAGTGACCACAATAAGACAACGAAAGCCTCAGTTACATAGTGAAGAACTCAATGACGAAAGAAAGGTATACACAGTTAACATTACTAACACTAAATTAACACAAATAACGGTAAATAACACACACACTAACACTCGTAACTAAACACACTAACACTCGTAACTAACACACTAACACTCGTAACTAACACACACACTAACACTCGTAACTAACACACACACTGACACTCGTAACTAACACACACACTAACACTAGTAACTAACACACACACTAACACTCGTAACTAACACACACACTGACACTCGTAACTAACACACACACTAACACTCGTAACTAACATACACTAACACTCGTAACTAACACACACACTAACACTCGTAACTAACACACACACTAACTTGGGTAGGTAAGAACAACCTGTCAACAACCTGTACTGTACGTGATTCATCTACTCACACCTGATGGCAGCTTGAACAATTACCTGTGGAGAGAAAGAGAGAGAAAAGGATATTAGTGATAAAGATAACAATATAAATAACACAAGATAAAAAAAAATATGTATACTAAGCATAAACATTGTCTAAGGTCTATCTTTGCAGGGGTCAACCATAGTTAATTTATTACTGACCCTTGACCTTTGACCTTTGGTAATGGTGGTGGTTACAAAAATGTGTGTTGTGTGACCTAGAGACTGAACCAATAGATACGGCATGGGGAGAGAGAGAGAGAGAGACAACACCAATTATTATAAACAACAACTATTATAAAAAACAACAACTAAGCCCTATAATAAACAACCACATCCAAACAACAACAATTACAACCTTTACTAGACCAGCGAAAATTAACAAACAACACACTATGCAAATTAACAGGAAGCCAAAAAAAAAAGTATATATAGTATTAAATTCAGTCCAAAACAGAAGCCCACAACAGCCACGGTGCCAAAAGCTTATGTTTCCCGAATTCACAAAAAAAAGCCTTATTTTGAGTCAGTATCCGAGTCACTTTTTTTTTTCCTATTCTTTTATATATATTTTTTTGGGACAACACCGCCGGACAGAATATAACAGCCCAAACGGTTAACATCGAAATAAAAATGGGTGTCGGAGCGTGCACAGTGAGTGAGTGTTGTGTGTGTGTGTGTGTGTGTGTGTGTGTGTGTGTGTGTGTGTGTGTGTGTGTGTGTGTGTGTGTGTGTGTGTGTGTGTCTCTGTTGCTAGAGTCCTGTAGCCTCGATGTTTACAAACAAGACGGTGGTCATCCTAGGAAGACACGTGCGTCGCCTCTCCTACCTGTACACACACTAAGTGAAAAATGAACCTGACGACGTACATATACTTGTTGAGGCCATGAAGACTTTGTAAATTAAACCTATACATTTGATGATCAACTTAGTAAACAAGAAATAAGAAATAGATAAAGAGAAAGAAAGAATAATTTTAAAGTATATGAAAAGTTTTTCTACATTACATTGATTTTCATTTTGGAATATAAAATCTTACACAAGTTCGAAAGAGGAAAACCTTCTACCCAAACCTGAAACAATGTCATGATTAACGAGTTATCTTACTCCATGTTTGGATTATCTTAAGCCACTTAATTTTTTTAACATTACCAGTATAATAACAGAGTGTGAGTCCTGACAGGCTCGAAGAATTACAAAAAATATATTTTAGTTTATCTTTGGATGTAGAAAATGGACGTAGTTCTTAAAGACACATTTTGAAAGACTTATTCAATAAATATTTTCATCTGACAACAGAACACATCTAGTCACGTTGCCTTGTTCTTCTAATACCTAAGAAACTTTTGACAACCATCTTAGTGTCACAACTAGTCCCTAAATCATTAGTTAGACGAAAGACTCTAACGAATCTCAGAACATCTAGGGTCGTGTCCTAGCTGAAGTGAGACATAGTGCTCTGTTTCCTCCACAGCTTCAGTCTGAGGGAAACTTACCCACGAACCTTTGAGGCTTCGGATTTTAGACAGTGTTCAGGTGGAGGATTTGTATCGAAAATCCCCAGATAACCGTCTTCAGCTGCGTCTTCAGCTGCATGAAAGCCTTTCTAGACTGACTGACGGCCCGAGAGGGTCTTAGGAAACACTCTTCTTGGTTTATGTTTGGATATAGACAACAAAGCCTCCCCGGGAAGTACTCTAGAGACCAGCTTATGTTGCGAAAACGTCTGGCACGAGTGTTTTTATTTACGAGTGCAGGCAGTGTGCCGGATAGTGTCGAGGACAGTGTCTCCAAGACCAGCTGGTGTCGTGGTTTAATTGCCACCTACAAGTGTTTCTTCTGAGGGTCTCCAAACTTGTCACGGTTTTTCTCACTCTACCTTTCATAACGTCTCTCTCCCTCTCTCTCTCTCTCTCTCTCTCTCTCTCTCTCTCTCTCTCATCCACTCTCATGCCAACGGGTGCGCGTGAGAAGGTAGGGAGGTTAGTTCTATCATTATCTAAACATATACTTTAGAAAATAGTCAAGTAAATAAGTTGGTATTAACCCCAGCACGATGATCCACAACAACACTCAGGGTGGGTGTGACAAATAATGAAAGTAATAATTTGTTGACTTAATTTTTGTTGTAACTCCGTAACACTCCCAGCTCCCACGTCCTGGGTTCGAATCCTTGGCTAATGGGTTATTGTTAGTGTATTAGGGTTCGCGTGATGGGATAATTGCCGATTAGCGATTAGCGTTTTTTTTTTTTACATGTAACTGACCATACACAATTAACTATATAATTGTAATACATATAAATGAATAACTATATAAAAACCTAACCTAACCTAACCTAACCTAACCTACTTCTGGTATAATATAAGTATCGTGTGATGATAAACGAAGTCCTAAATTAGTGAAACAGATCAAATTCAACGACATAAGAATTAATATCCATCAATTCACAGCAATAAAAACAAAAAAATTAGTTCCTATAAGACAAAAAAGATCAGAGAGAGAGAGAGAGAGAGAGAGAGAGAGAGAGAGAGAGAGAGAGAGAACACCACACCCCAGACTATAACAAACAATATGGAAATATAAGAGGATCAGGCCACATGCAGATGGGGTTTAGAACGCAGGAAAACAGATTAATAAAGAGACAGAGAGGAACAAAGACGCAAATAAAAATGATCAGTAGGAAATGAAAGTCGCGAATACTCTTAAACTGGTACACCATATCCCCTGAGACCAACTCCTGTAGGGAATTTAGATCAGATAAAACACATAAACATTTGTATATGTGATAATGACGGCAAGATAAGAATAGGGAAAGATAAAATAATGGATAGAATAGAAGAAGGAATTATAATAAGTGGAGAATAGAGAGAAATTTAAATAAAAGGAATAAACATGGGGATTAATATGAGGTTATGTTAAAGACTGAAAAAAGGGGGAGGTGGGAAGAAGAGGAGGAGAGGGGGGAAGGAAGGAAGGAATGAAGGGAGGTTATTTAGGAGGGAGAAGAGTAAAGGGAGAGATGGAAAGAAGGGAGGGAGGGATGAAAAATGGGAAGAAATGAAAGAAATGAGGGAGGGATGAGAGAGAAAGGTAAGGAAAGGAGGGAGGTAAGGGGGCAAGGAAGAGAAGGAGGAAAGAAATGAGGTAGGGGGGAAGATAAGGTAAGAAAGGGAGGGAGATAAGGTAAGAAAGGGAGGGAGGAAGAAAGATGGATGGATGGAAGGAAGGAAGGAAGGAAGGAAAAAATGCAATGAAGAAAATACCAACATACGAACATAACCAAGGGAATGAAATTTAAGTCTACACCCAGTGGTTCAAATTGTTACACACATGCAGCAGGGGTACAGATACTTTTTGGGTTACTTGTGACAAAGGTACAGATACTCTTTGTTACATGCAGCAGGGGTACAGATACTTTGTGTTTACATGCAGCAGGGGTACAGATACTTTTTGTTTACATGTGGCAGGGGTACAGATACTTTTTGTTTACATGTGGCAGGGGTACAGATACTGTTTTGTTGAAGGTATAGTGTATAAAAGGAAGCAAACAGGAAATGCAATGACAGCGAAAAATTTGGAAATGCATCATGGTGGAAAGGGTGAATGTGCAACCGGGCGGAAAAGGAGAAATGGAGAGTAGAAATAATAGAAAGGTAACACAGGGGGGGAAAGAGGGAAGAGGAACAAGGGAAAACAAAATGTTGAATGGAAAGGTAAATAAATCCAGGTTAACAGGACAGGTAAATGGAGGTAAATCCAGAACAGGTAAATGGGGGTAAATCCAAGAGGAAAAAATAGTACAAACAAACAATGAGAAACCTGAAACTTAAAACTAAGAGGAAGTTTATGAATGTAAATGAGAGAAATGCAAAAAAATGAATAACGAAAGAAATGGAAAAAAATAATAACGAAAGAAATGGGGAAATAGATAACAATAGAAATGGAAAAATGAATAACGATAGAAATGGAAAAAAGAATAACAGAAAATTAACCAAGACCTAAATGGGAAAATTTTTGAAAAAAAGAAAAGAAAATTAAATAACAGCAAAAATGGACAAACAAATGCAGAAAAAAAATGACCAAAATATTACAATAGAGAAATGGTGAAAAAAATAGAAACAAAGGAAATATAAAACGACTGAAATAACAAAAGAAAGACGTCAAAAAAGACAAAAAGAAAAAACGGCAGAAACTGAAAAATACGACCAAAAAAAAGTAGGAAAAATACCATAGGAGAGAAAATCGAAAAATAATCAAATACAAATCGAATAAAAGTGACAGAAATGGCAAAATAATAATAAAAACTTGAAAAATAATAAACGGGAGAAATAAAAAAGACAAGAAGAGAAAATAAAAGAGATGAAAGGAAGGAAGGAAGGAAGGAAGGAAGGACAACTGAAAACAACAGGTAAGTTATAGTGGGTTAAAAGAAACGCATCTTACAGTCTCAGTACAATTTCACCGCCATTTTAGCCTCAAATATATACTGTAGATACTCACTGAATACAGTAGTACTAAGCCAACCCGCTGAGTACGATGAAATAGATTAAGACAGGGGTTCTCAACCAGGGGGGAATTTCCCACCCTCAGGTTTTCAGGAGAACTAATCTATGGAAAAATAAAGGATATTGGACTGCACTTTTTGAGGCAGACAATCTTGGAAAGGAGAATGACATTCTGACATATGGTGAAAAGGGGTGCATGGGGCAAACAAGGTTGAGAACCACTGGATTAAGATATACTGTATCATATAACAGAGCACGTTGACGCCTTGAGTACGACGACGAAAATAAAAACTCATATATAAGGAGATAATAATAATAATAATAAAAATAATAATAATAATGATAATAATAATAATAATAATAATAATAATAATAATAATAATAATAATAAAAATAATAATAATAATGATGATAATAATAATAATAATAATAATAATAATAATAGTGAAGAACCTGCGTCAGCCAGCTCAATGAACGCCTTAATTGAATACCTGACTGACTCACAAATTGACTG